GGCCATAAATTACACAGGGTCAGAGTTGGCTTCACTTGGGTACGTGCCGACATGTTACTCCTAATAAATAACTGGATTTCTTTTGAAGCTTGGCTCGGGGGTCATGATTTAATTAGGGCATCCATCAGAACCCTGACGTTTAGCACAGAAGACGGTTCAAGAAAGCAAGGCTAAATTTATGTAGTATCTTTTGTTGCGCTCACCTTTGATGCCATGCCCATGCGCTAACGGTACCAGTGGGATCTGGGCTTTGCCCAAGTAGCTTCCAGGTTCCTCTTCCTCATCGTCAAACACATAGACACACAAACTCTCCACAAGCAAATAATGGTGCAACTCGGGAGTGATGTGCAGAGTAAACTTCTTCACATCTTCAAAGTTGGGGTGGTTGCTTTCTGGGGTTNAAAAGTACACTTGATTTCTATCAATGGAGTCTCGTGGTTTTCTTTCCTAATTATTCAATGGAGGAGTGCTGACATATTGTTTTGATCATTTGACAAAAGTAGCTGGCTGCAAACATTCACGGTCCCAAAGCTTTACGGTATCACGTTTTACAAGGTAATTGTATAGCAACTCAAAATCCTCAAATATTTACTCCCTAAATTATAAGAGGCCATTTGGCCTTGTAACAAAAGAACTAATCGTAATCTTTCAAGCTTTGTTTTGTCTTCGTCTCAAATGAAATGTACACATGAATTCAAAATGTCCAAAGAGAAACGTTCATCTCGAAAATAAATGTCAGTTTTCAATAGCTGATTATTTGATGGAAAGTAGATTGCAGGAAAGGTCACTTTAAAATGTTTTTAGAACACTTTAAAACAAAGTAGAAATGGTGAAAATAAAAAATAAAAATTCAGAAGGTTTCTTCTGCTATCCTCCTTTCCTGTTATTGAAATCCAGCACATTGGACCATAAAGAATATTAAAAATAAAAGCTAGAAAGACTGGTGGTGCAGTGGTTAGAATGCAGTATTGCAGGCTAACTCTTACCACACAGCTTGGAGTTCAACCCTGGCCAGCTCACGGTTGACTCAGGTTTTCACCATTCTGAGACTGGTAAAATGAGGACCCAGATTTTTGGGGGGTGGGGGCCAATACAGTGACTCCGTAAATTGCTCAGAGAGTGCTATAAAGCACTATGAAGCAGTATATAAGTCATAAGTTGCTATGGCTAAGTAATAAGCTAAATTTGAAATCTTCTGCCACCTGTTTCCAAAATTTGTCAAAATTATGCTCTTCCTAAAGAATTCGATCATGGGAATATTTTCTATTGTCTTTTGTACATGTTCAAAAGCAGCAAAGTTATTTTTCACTCATCAAATCTTTTTTGTGCTTGTGTGATTCTCAAGAATGTGTGTCAAAACGATACAGATTTGGTTGTTGTTTATCAGAGACTGAAATGAAATGTTTCATCAAGAGGGTCAGACTTTTTGAAATATGGAAAGACGATTTCTTTTTTGACTCAATTTATTCTCCCCAGCCATATGCATAAAAATATAAGTCGGTTACTGCAGATTGTGTCACCCCATTTCCATTCCTCCATCAAGAAAACTCTAGGCTTTCCTTTTCCTCATTCAGCCTAACTCACTCAAATTATATTATTCTGCAAATCAAGGACAAAAGGAATGACAAATTTCAAAAAGTGAGAAGAAATTATGACTTTCGATTCTTCTCTACCACTCAACCTTTAAAAACAGTTCATTCTCTCCTGTTCCAATCTCATTTCCAGTTGAGTAGTAACGGATGAAAAAAAAATCTAGCAAGGAAAATTAGGACGTTTTTTTCCCAGAGGGAACACGGAATGATGGGAAACTCTACCAGCTGAATTGCGATTCATTCGACCTGCAATGGTGGAACAAGTCTATTAATAGTATAGCAGCTACATGCAAGTTACCATCACTAGAGGGAGCATTTAGATCACCAATAATGTCCACATTTACCTTGGCATTGTTTTTGCCTAAAACGTCTTTGAATTTGAATTGTTTTTGCCTAATATTCAGAATCCCCGACTCCTTTCTCTTTTAAAGGCCAGGAATCCATTTTCATGTGAATTAAACTTGAATAAGATTTCATATTCTTGGATCTACATTTCCAAAACTTATATACTGCTGCTGCTGTATGACCGTAATATTGATATTGTATTGACTTAATTCCAAGTATCATTGAGAAACACCTACATACCTCCCAAGAACTCACAGACTGGGCCTTCTCGGGGTGCCGTCGACCGGACAATGCCGGCTGGCGGCTCCTCGGNGATTCTCACCAGGCTCAAGGTTGACTCAGCCTTCCATCCTTCTGAGGTCAGTAAAATGAGGACCCAGATTGTTGGGCGAAATATGCTGACTCTCTAAACTGCTTAGAGAGGGCTGTAAAGTCTAAGTCTAAAGTATATGTCTTCAGTGCTATTGCTATTACTTTAGAATTAAGAGCTCTTTTAAGTAACCAATAAATTATGCTTGATTCTCTAATTTCTCACCATACTGGAATGCAGTTAGGCTAGCCATCATATAGGCCTCATAAACTGCATAAGCCAAATGTTCGATTTACTTTATTTAACATGCACTGTATTAGCCAATCTTGGTTAGGTTATGCAAAACAATACTTAAAAAAAGCTGTGAGCCAAATACACTAAGATTTGAGAACCCAGCCAGGTTCCCCGACAAATGCGCGCTCAACAAAAGCGCGCCCGATGAAACCGCGGCGACAAAACCACGAGTTCTAAATCATGCCGATGAATGAGCGCAGAAGCACGCCAACAGAAGCGCACTCTAAACCTAACCCTGAACCTAACCCTAAACCTAACTCTCAACCTAATCCTGAACCTAACCCTAAAACTAACCCTGAACCTAACCCTTACCTTAAATCGCGCTTCTGTCGGTGCGCTGTTGTGGGCGCATTGATGTCGCAGTTTTCACCACGCAGTTTCGTTGGTGCGCTTTTGTCGAGCGCGCATTTGTCGGGTCACGCCCAGCCAGCAGAAAGAGTTTATCTTTTCCACTCACAGGGTCCAACCCTGCTGACTCTCTGTAAACCGCTTAGAGAGGCCTGAAAGGCCTATGAAGCGGTATATAAGTCTACTGCTATTGCTAGTGGTCAAAGCTTAGTTTTTAAAGGGTGAATGCCATGGTTTTATAGGAGCAGGAAGCTACTTTCCAATTAACACCTAAACTTATGAACAACCCTATCCAATTTCTTTTTTTTTGCAGCTATTGGAAGAACTCTTTTCCACAATACCTTCACTTATCAAAATATCAAGACATGACTGTACAAGATGTGAAGAGATTGAAAATCTGCAGGTACTAGATTTTATTCAGGAAAGAAAGCAGACGCTTAAGACATTGTATCGTGGGCCTTCCATCCCCATTTCAAGATGCAAGATCCAAAATTACATAAAATAGTTATGTATGCTGGGGCGTTTCAAGCAGGCCTATCATATTCCCCATCAGTCCATATACTACTGAAGCTTTCAATAAGCACCCACTGTTATTCAACAGGACATTTACCATTTTAGAAAAAGGACAGTGGGAAGTGCTTAAAAAGGATTCCAAAATTTGTTTTATAAAGGTTAGTATATATCTACATCCTCTATATTTAGAAATTATATTTATGTCCATGTAAATCTGGACCAACAGAAGTCATTGCTTTAAACTGTTTTTTAAACAAGTAAAAAAAAACACCACCAAGGCTTTTTCTTCTTCTTAAAATAGTGCAAATCTAATTATGAACACTTCATCCAAAAGGTAAGGAGGGGGGGTTGAGAATCCAGTCATCTTATAGCATTTTGATATATTCCAAATCATAATCTTAAGACTGGATAGTTTTATCACTACCAAGGAATAATTACAAAATGGGTTTTTTTAACAGTAAAACTTAGTATTAACGCCAGTGTAATTCTGCTTTCTCAAACTCAGCAATCTGAAATTTTGAATTGGGTCAGAGCAAAGATTCTTTTTCTAAAAGAAATCCCACACCCACCAGAGTTAAGAACTGCAAAAGCAGTGGTTTAACACAGGGGCCTCCAATCTCGGCAACTTTTAAGCAAAGCTGGCTGGGGAATTCTGGGAGTTGAAGTCCGCCAGGCTTAAAGCTGCCAAGGTTGGAGACCCCTGGTTTCACAGGCACTTAAGAATTGAGGGTTCTCACAAAAAGCAATTATCATTGATCACAACCACCTTCTCGTTGTAGCAGTTGCCAGGGAAAGATTTATGCTGCTTACTTGGGAAGGCTCGAGGTCTCCAAAGAATCCCCTTTTGTGAAAAGGATGAAAGCATCATGCTACTGTGACACCAGCCCTCTCCCTTTCATTATATGCTGCATCCCTCACTATTCTCCTATAAAAAGGGTGGAGCACCACTACTATTTTATTTACCCCTTGAGAACGCTCCTGCATAATTTGCAAGTCTGAGATTCAATATTCTCATGTTCCGAGGGAGGGAGGGAGGGAACAGTGCAAATGAAAAATTTCCATGTCTAGGATGTTCTTTGGCTGCGTACAGGAAATCTTTCTTCTCTTTCCTACACATAAACCATCTTGAAATCCCTACTTGCCACTTGAAATCAGCAGGGCTCCTCTACAGCAGCAATCTGCAGAATCGACCGGCAAAGGTTTTTCCAGATTCCACACCAGCTGAGAATTTGGACACCAAGAAAAGATCAAAAGGACAAAATAACCTACCATATTTTATGGACTATAAGACGCACTTTTTTGTCTCCCAAAAGGGGGTGAAAAGTTCTGTGCGTCTTATAGACCGAATACTGCTGAAGCCCCGCCCACCCACCAGCCATTTTTTGGCCTCCGTACACCCTGTTTTCGGGCGTTTTTTCTTCCCTCTTTTAGCCCTTTTTCCACCCCATTTTTTTGGGGGGGGGGGTTTCAGGCTGTTTTCAAGGCTTTTTTCGGCCCATTTTTGAGGCATTTTGCAACCTGTTTTTTTTTTAAAAAAAAAGCGGGCTGAAAAAAACCTCAAAAATGGACCGAAAAAAGACTCGAAAATGGGCTGAAAAAAGCCTTGAAAAAGCAGGCTGAAAAAAGCTGAAAAAATGGGCTGGAAAAAAATTGAGAACGGGCTGAAATAAGCTCCCCAAATGGGTCAAAAAAGCCTAAAAAAAAAACCAAAAAAGGCCTTGAAAATGAGTAGAAAAAAAGTCTGGAAAAGGGCCGGAAAAAGGCCCCCCAAAAAGGCTAAAAATGGGGCCCACGGAGGCCAAAAACCTTTGTTTGTTTTCCGCTTCTAAATTTAGATGCTTCTTAGTCAGGTGTGTCTTATAATCTGAAAAATAAGATACTTCAAGTATGAAAAAACTTCAATTGCCAAGAATGGTGATTAAAAGAAACAGAGATGTATGTTTGAGAGATTTAAAGGTCTGTCGGCATTTTTGAAAGGCGGGATATCTGGTAAAAATCTGGGGTTTGTTTTATATAAGTTGGATTCTTATCATCGTACATTTTTTTGACAAGACACATGTGACTCTTGCCGTGAGATCAATCCCAACCAAATAACAAGTCAACCAGCTTGGACAGTTCATCTGCACTTATTGTTAAGAATTTTTTAATTAAAAACTGGCTTGTTAGATGGAACTTCTTCCTACCCCTCCCCTCCCCACCCCCACCCCAATTATCACAAGCTCCCACCAACTGGGATGTGTGTCAGTCCCAGGAGCAGAAAGGAAATAAGCATCTTAAGGCTGCATCACACAAACTAAACCCAAAATAAAAATACTTATCCAGCCAAAACTGGGCCACCTTTTGGAAAACGGCAACTAATATTTAACAAGGAAATCTATTTTCAAATAGGCTTCTATATTTCCACACATTTTCTTTCCGGGGTGACGACGCATGATCAGTAGCTTCACTGAAGTTTGAATCGGGGCGCAGAGAAGGGGAGGGGCAGAGAAGTGAGAAAGTCTCTCCCTCCGGACAATGGAAGGCCGAGAATCAGAAAGAATATAAACATTTTCACAGTAAACCATAAATAAAAGTGCAGCAAGTGTTCAAGTAGGCTAACGAGGCTATGTGGACAGGGTGGTGATTGGTTTGGTCATCTTTTGGAGGCCCTGCGGGGGTCCCTCCCGTTACTAATTGTGCTTTGAAAGGGACGAGCATTGTTAGACAGTAGAGGCGCGAGAGGAGTGGGGGCCCGTCCGCCAGACCTCCCAGAACCTGAATAGGTGGGGGCATGATTATAAGCAGTGGACAATCCACTCAACTCTGGTCCAGTTGGCAAACCATTTCCTAAAAAAACAAACAAAAGAGGAAACAATTTTTTAAAAACTGTCATCAAACTTTTCTATTTTCTCACGTCACGTTTCTTTAGCAATGGAGACTGTCAATGCTCAAAAGAGCCTGTTCTTAACTAGGAAGCATTTAGCATGAAGTTGCCGAGAGCTGGTGAAATCACCAGTGGAGACCACAAAATCCCAAGAGGTAGCTTGTCACACAATGGTAATCAATGCAACAAAAAAACAAGTGATGGCAGTCTTAATGACGTAGCAGGATCTTGTATAATGCAGGTAATTCCTGCTAATCTACAAACAGGCACCAAAGCTAATTAAAAGAAGTTAACATATCACATCAACTTTTAAGATGCGGGGACTTGAAGATGATGGCTGGGAAATTCTGGGAGTTGACGTTCACGCATCTTAAAAGTTGTTAACATGATGGTGCAAAATCTTTACTGGGTGTTAACTTACCGGGAATAATTATCTTACAAAGAAGATTATATAGCAAACATTTTTTTTTTTATTGTGTCCAGCTTTGGGTTAAATAAATTGGGTTGCGTCCTTTGATCAGGAACTTGAGGTTCTTCAAAACCAGTTCCCCATATGTTCTCCCCAGTCATGGCATGACAAAACCGCGGTCCACTAAAGCGCGCCCAATTAAAGCGCGTACCTGACGTCATCACAGTGCGACGAAAACATCACGCTGTGAGCGGTAAAGTTAAAATTAACGCGAAAACCTTACCCTAACCCCCAAACCTAACCCTTAACCTAACCCTAAACCTAACTCTAAACCTAACCCTTAACCTAACGCTAAACCTAACGCTAACCTAACCCTAAACCTAACTCTAAACCTAACCCTTAACCTAACGCTAAACCTAACGCTAACCTAACCCTAAACCTAACTCTAAACCTAACCCTTAACCTAACGCTA